CCCCCCCCCCCCCCCCTCCCCATCATACCTTCTCGTTGTTGGCCTCAACCGCCTCCAGGCCGCCGTTGGCAAGGACGTGCGCGAACACCAGGCCGCACATGTAGATGGACCAGCAGGGCGGCGTGTTGTACATGCTGCCGTCCTTGGCCGCCACGGACCAGTCCAGCATGGCGGGGGTGGAGGCGCGGGCCCGGCCCAGCAGGTCCTCGCGTACGATGACGATGGTGACGCCCGCGGGGCCGATGTTTTTCTGGGCGCCTGGACGGGGTGGGGTTCAGGGAGAGGCGAGGTGGTAAGCCTTGCGGACCGAGGGTTGGAGAGTCAATGAGACCGAGGGTTGGAGAGTCGATGAGACCGAGGGTTGGAGAGTCGATGAGATGAGTAGAAAGGGGTGCAGCTTGAGTTTGATGATGCCGAGCGGGGGCGGCTGTCGACGATGCTCCGTGCGCATCCTACACTTGAAGGTGCTACCCACATCGCATGTCGCAGCACCCTACACTCACCGGCGTAGATGACACCGTACTTGGACACATCCACGGGGCGGGCGCAAAAGTTGCTGCTCATGTCGACGACCAGGGGGGCGTCGCCCACGCTGGGGGGAGCCTGGGAGGATGGGAGTGGTGGGAGGACAGGGACTGGTGGCGCGTGTCCTCGGACGGCTGGGCTGCGGCAGGTCGGCCTCGCAGGCCATTGACTGGTGGCTGGCGGACATGGCATGAGCTTGGGACTGGTCGTCATGTCGGCATGGCCGAGCGCCGACGAATGCCCCTTCCCACGCACCATGACTACCATCCCTCTCCCCTCGTCCCACATCCAAGCCTCTCCCATCACCCCGCCTTCCCCCCAGCCCTACAAACAGCACCTTGAACTCCACGCCGCCGATGGTCTCGTTGGCGCAGTAGTGCACGTACTTGGCGCCCTCGGTCAGGTTCCAGGTGGAGGGGTCGGGAATGCTCTTGTTGTCGCCCGTGGCCGCGGCGTTGGCCAGCAGGAAGCGTTTGCCCTCGCCGATGGCCTTCTTGGACCAGGCCCCCGTGACCACGTAGTCCGCCTTGTCGCCCTCCTCCGCCAGGTTCAGGGGGATGGCGGCGAACTGGGTGGAGGCCCCGCCCTGCAAGAACAGGACCTTGTAGTTGTCCGGGATGGAGAGCAGGCTGCGCAGGTCGGCCTCCGCCTTGTCGGTGATGGCGATGAACTCCTTGCCGCGATGGCTCATCTCCATCACGCTCATCCCTGTGTGGGAGGGATGAAGATCAAGGGGTGGGCGCGGCTGCACCGAGGTCTGATGGCCTGGCAAGCAGGCAGGAGCAGGTGGGAGACTGAAAGGGCTTGGTTGCCTCCCGACCCGCTGTCGCAGAGTCCATTCGAGACGCTTGCGCGGATGGCGTGACAGCTGATCACAACTCCCTGCTCAAACTCTAGGTATGATTATCGCACAATAATACTCTCCCCGGAGCCACCTCACGCACCGCTGCCCTGCCAGTTGAGGAGATCGGCCTGGGCCTGCTCCAGCACGGCGGCTGGTAGGCAGGCAGGGCCAGCGGAGAAGTTGAACACGCGGCCATGACTTTGAAGCTTGGGGGCGGTAGGGCGATCGGCGCTCGCCACGGCGCTGGTGCTCACCTGCTCATATAGGTTGGTGGTAAGGGAGTGTGCAGTGCGTCAGAATAATGCCCTCTGCCATGCGCACGCGAAGGACAGTTGAAGCAGCAGCAAAACTCGCACCCAACCACGCTGATATTTTCTCACCGTCCTGGCAGCACGGGGACGGACATGGCTGGGTCGAGTCATAGACCGGGTGCAGGAAGCACCCGCGACGGCTGCACCAGCAATAGCAGACATAATACTGTTTGCTTACAAAGTTAAGGGGATATTGCCTTGCAATTCAGATGCCTCAAAGCCAGTTGTTAAATTGCATGCATGAGCAGCGCTGGGCTATGAAACAACACGTTTGCTCAGCGCATGGACGACCCCGTGCTCCGTGCTACGGGGCCCGCCCAGCATTCTCCTCCCGGCGCGCGCAGAGCGTTGCAGGGCCGGCCGACTGGACTGGCTGTCCGAGGGCATGAGCCATTCGTACGTTATATTCGAAACTGCTACTACACAAGAGCGAAAGCAACCGATTCGTGGCCGTCCGTGGAGTGCTGGGCTCGTACATGCAAGCATGGGCTTGCCACCGGTAGCCCAATTCATCAAGAAGAAGGCGAAACATGGGAATGGTACGATCTTAATTGTGCTAGGGTTTTCATTTGCGGCTGTTGCGCCCTGCTCGTGGCTCCACAGAGGGGTCTCCTCGTATCCCAGGCACTCAACACTTGCCCGGTTGCCCAGGCCACACCGCCGCAGAGGAGGTCCCTCGCAAGCTGAAGAAGCAGAAGGTCACCAAGGAAGGTGCGCATCGCGCGTCTCCATTGTTCCATCGCAGCCTGAGTGTAACATCGCATGGTGGGTGCAAGGAGGGAGCGAGATTCCCGTCACTGTCACCTCCTCCTTCCCTGCAGACGCGACACCGCAGGAGGAGGCCGCGGCGGTGCCTGTGGCTGGTCCAGAGCCAGCCGCACCTGCAGCAACAAATGGAGGGGAGCATTCCGTGCGGCCGCCCCCTGGCAATGTGTCGGGGATCATGTCGCAGCAGGTGCGGGGAGGTTGGTGGGGTAGGGGCGCTGGTCAGCCAAGGACTTGGGCGCCCGACACTGAAGCGAATCCTCAGGAATTGAGTCGTTCGCCAATGCTCCACTTTCCTGTGGCCCTCGCGCCTCCACTCGCCTCTTCACTCCCCTCGTCATCAGACCTTTGACTCGCTGGAGGTTTCGGATCAGACCAAGAAGGCCATTGTCAGCATGGGGTTCACATACATGACGGAGGTCCAGGCCCGGACTATCCCGCCCCTCCTCCTGGGGAAGGATGTCCTGGGTGCCGCCAAGACTGGTGAGACTGAGGTCGGGGGGCACCCTCTTGAGGATTTCCAGGCAGGCAAACGGCGCTGGGTTGTCGTGCTGTCTGCCCTGCGAAATTTCTCTGAGATTCTCCAGCATGCTTTTCTGCTGACCTGCCTGGCCAGCAGGCCGCCCTGCAGCTGCGTTGGTCGGATTTGGGGCTAGGGTAGTCCTTCCCACTCCCTGAAGGTGCAAGAGTGCACCCTGCGTGTGGCTGATTGGGTTCAAGGGGCACACCATGCACTCACTCCCCCACCCGAACACTCTGATCACCCATCACCATTCCCCGCGCAGGCTCTGGCAAGACGCTCGCCTTTCTGATCCCGGCGCTGGAGCTGCTGTACCGCGCCAAGTTCATGCCACGCAACGGCACGGGCGTGCTGGTCATCTCCCCCACGCGTGAGCTGGCGCTGCAGATCTACAACGTGGCGGTGGACCTCATGATGGGCCACTCCCAGACCCACGGCCTGGTGATGGGCGGGGGCAACCGCCGGGCCGAGGCTGAGCGCCTGACCAAGGGCGTGAGCCTGCTGGTGGCCACGCCGGGGCGCCTGCTGGACCACCTGCAGAACACCAAGGGGTTCCTGGTGCGCAACCTGGCCTGCCTGGTCATCGACGAGGCCGACCGCATCCTGGAGGTGGGGTTTGAGGAGGAGATGCGCCAGATCATGAAGCTGCTGCCGCGGGAGCGCCAGACGGCCCTCTTCTCCGCCACGCAGACCACCAAGGTGTGGTTGTGTCCCCTGTCGGGGGGAACGAGGAGGTGTTCGGGGGGTCAGGGGAAGGAACCCACTCATGGACCGGGGGATGGTGGGGGGGGTTGGGGTCGAACAGTTTTGTGAACATGCATCTTGCAAGGTATCTCAAGGCCCAAAAGAAGTGGGATTCTGAGGCCCAGCATCGCACAAGCAGGGCACTGCCAGCAACATTCTCAATTCGACTCTTGACGCCCCACAACCCCCCCTCCCCACCACCTCCTTCCTCAGGTGGAGGACCTGGCGAGGCTGTCCTTTAAGAACAAGCCGGTGTACATTGCAGTGGATGAGGCCAACACCACGGCCACGCGGGAAGGCCTGGAGCAGGCATGCAGGGCGGGGGACCGGGGGCTGAGCAGTTCAATCTCTGGAATGTCATGTCGGTCGTCCTGCCAGGGGCCATGCTGTGCTGCTTCAGTCGAGTTGTAGGGCGTGCTGATGTCCTCACTCCAGGCACGGCTCGTATTCCCGGCGCAGGGCTACTGTGTCGTGCCTGGGGACAAGCGCTTCCTCCTCCTCTTCACATTCCTCAAGCGAAACACCAGCAAGAAGGTAGGATGAGCAATGGCTGGTACTTGGCTTGTGCGGAGGAGGGGTGCACATTGCGTGGGCAGGATTCTCTGGCCCTTCATGCATCCACTTGACAGAGTCTCCAGTGCGCATCGAGGACTGACATGGTGAGGAGACGATCATGATGCCCCCCCCATTCCTTTGCCCCACAGGTCATGGTCTTCTGCTCCTCCTGCAATGCCGTCAAGTACTACTCCGACCTGCTCAACTACATCGATATCCCGGTGAACGCCATCCACGGCAAGCAAAAGCAGGCCAAGCGGACCGCCACCTTTTTCGAGTTCTGCCAGGTGTGTGGAAAGTGGGGTTGGCTGGGAGAGCATCAGTGGGACCTGCGTGAAGAGGGAGGCCAGTTGTTGCGCTGTGACCAACATACCCAGCGACCCATCGCCATCGCCAGGCCACCACCGGCATCCTGCTGTGCACGGATGTCGCGGCGCGCGGCCTGGACATCCCCGCCGTGGACTGGATCATCCAGTTCGACCCGCCGGACGACCCCAGGGAGTACATCCACCGCGTCGGACGGTGAGAGGCTTGGGTGGAGAGGGAGGGGCTGAAGAGAGGGGGAGGGACGCCCATTCTGGTTGCGCCTGGGGGGCTGACCTCTCTGGCTCATGGCGCAGGGCCTGCTGAGGAAGGTAACCCACATTTATTCACCTTGCTGAGCCTCCCAGTTAAGAACTTGCATGATCTCCACAGGACGGCGCGGGGGAGGAGCGGGAAGGGCAAGGCGCTCCTCATGCTGCTGCCCGAGGAACTCAAGTTCCTGCAGTACCTCAAGGTGAGCCAAACCAGCGTTACTTCACCGAAAAGCTGGCAGTGCAGGGCACTGCATGGGGTCCCTCAAAGGTCTGGGATGTACAGTGTCGTGGGGTACAGGCAGGAGCTGCTTGTGCATGCTGCTTCCCACTCGCATGACCTGCCCTCAACCATCCTCACCCCCCCTGAGTTCAGGCCGCCAAGGTGCCGCTGGCAGAGTACGACTTTCCAGTGTCCAAGCTGGCCAACGTCCAGACGCAGCTGGAGAACCTGGTGTCGAAGAACTACTTCCTGCACCAAGCCGCCAAGGAGGCCTTCAGGTAGGGCTGCGCAGCTGAGTGCGGTCCATACGCGTTGTGCATGGTTGCAGGGTGGATTCCTGGGCGACGTATGCTCAAGTGGTTTCAGCCATCATGCATCCACCAAACACTTTCCTGGCTGAGACCAACCTTGTGCACAACCCGGCATCCTCAATCACACGGTGCAGGTCGTACATTCTGGCCTACAACTCCCACCAACTCAAGGAGGTGTTCAATGTCCACGCTCTGGATCTGAAGGCGGTGGCACGTAGCTTTGGATTCGAGACACCCCCAAAGGTGTGCTGTGGGGGTTAATTCAGGCACCACTGGACTGCAGGAGCCCGCTGAGTAATGCTGTACTCCACGCATGCATGGCTCCCTGGCATTGCACAGGAGGGCACTCCATGGCTCCACGCCTTCACATCTTTGCACACCGATGCTCACTCCAGGTGAACATCAATCTTGAGAGCAAGGCGGCACACTCGCGGAAAACGAGGAACGCGGTCTACCAAAAGCCGCGAACGCATTACTAGCGTCACCATGACCCTCCTTTGCCTTTGCCTGCTCCCCCACATGGGTGTAGTACGGATTGACCAGGTTGTCCTTGTATGGAAGGGAACCATACCGGGGGGTGCAGGTTCGGGCTCAAACTCTAAAATGATGAGGATACGTACACACTGCTTATAGCCACTGAAATGGAGTACAAGGCATGGCAAGGGCACCGAAAGGGCAACTCTTGGAGTATATTGCTGAACAGCCCTCCTCTGCAGGATGGCGGGAACCTGACAGCGCGCCAGCATGCGTCCGAATATTTGAAATTCCTCTCGACCAACCCGTGTGCACCTCTCAAGATCGGAGGCATGCGGCAAGAGAGCCGGCCCTCTCACCTGAGGAGAACTTGGCATCTAGAATATTCAATACGATCATGGCCAGCGATGGGGAGCAAAGCCTCACAGGTGAGGCCGCTGCCGTCGTACCAGGCACATCCCGGACGTGTGCAGCGACATCCCCTGGAGTGGATGCCGGTCACTATCTGCATCTTCCCACCCACTGCCATTCAAACCACTGCAGGCACACTTGGGACGCACAATGGTGCCGGGAGCGTCATGGGCGCCCCCTCACCTCGACCAGCCAACAGTCTGTCGCAGATGACCCCAGGAGCTTCGCAGCAACATGGGGGATACTCCACACAGCCTACTCCCGTGGGAAGAGCGGATCTGGGCTACTACATCGGTCACCGTCCCAACACTGTCTCTGGGACAGGGCGAGGTTCGGTGCTCGCGCCCTCGGTACGTGTTTGGTGTCAGAGGGGCATGGCGAGTTGAACACGAGCGCCGGGTTCGGCAGGTCCCAATGGGTTACTGCTGGTGACGGCCGCGGCGTAAAAGACAGGCTCGACCATCGAACACCTATGATTAATCAATTGGTTGCTCTCCTCTCAGGAATCCTTTGCTGCCATGGAGGATGCAGAGGGCGACGCTGATGCCACCTTCATCTGGGGCACCAACCTCTCAGTGAGCAGGGTGCAGTCCCGCTTCACATCCTTCATCAAGACCTTCCGCCTCCCTGAAGAGTTCGACCCCAAGTACCTGCAGCTGCTCCAGGAGGTGTGGTGCACGGGACAGGCTCGAGGCAATTGGAGCTTGCATCGGGTTTGGCGGGGTGCCTAGGAGCTGAGCCCCCTCGGCAGCTGGCCAGGGAAGATGTGGAGACTGATTTTGTGCTGACAAGTGCATGTAGGTGGAACATGTTCAGTGCGACTATGTTTCTTGAAAGATGATTTATTTCTTCCCCCCCTATCAATGTGCCACCTTGCTCTCCTTTCCCATACAGACACGTGAGCGGGGCGAGGTGTCCTTCAACATCGACGGACACCACATGCACGATTTCGATCGCACCCTCTACATGTGGGCCATCACCTACCCAGCTGAAACTGGTGAGCCTGTCTCCCGGGCACACGCATGCGTAATCATTGGACACACTTGCAGGATGCTGGACAGTGCAGTACTTGCTGGCTGGGACTGAGCGTACTGAACGAGTGTCGAGGCTGAGAGAGACATAAGTCGACATCCTACTCCTTGTGCGCCCCAATGTCAGTCTCCAAGTACGGCGTCGCCGCGGTCAGCTCCCTCCGTGCCCCCCCCCCTCCCTCCTGTCCACAGTTCCCATCTTTGACGGTCAGCTGTCGGCCATCGCCGCTGAGCTGGAGGGGACAGACCCTGAAGAGATCCAAGTGCAGGTGGGTTCCGGGTTGGGAGCTCCTGATACCTTCCCCTCAGCAGCAGCATGTTGATGCTCAAGGTCCCATCATGCTCCTCTCCCCCCTGCCGCCACCATGCTCACCCTGCAGGCACGCATCTACAACCTGCTGGAGATCAAGGTGATCAGGGACTTGAACCCCTCGGACATCAACCGCATGATCGCCGTGAGCGGCATGGTCACCCGCACCAGCGGCGTTATCCCGGACCAGAGGAGTGATGAGGAGGGGGGGGGGGGGGGGGGGGG